AGAGATGGTTATTCAACTATCGGTTTCGGTGAAGAATTACTTTAGAATTGGTCATCGTACCACATTGGGTGGCTGGCTTTTGGGCCAAGCCAGTAACCTAAATGCCTTTTGCATGTCAAGCATATAAAGATATTCTGCTCGAGCATTATATCTTCTTTTGTCTTAATGGATGCCTCAGGACGCTATATTTACGTCTTTTTAAAAGGCTCGGAGCACTACGACGCTATGGAGCTTGATATATGTGAATGAAAATCGAAATCTGACCTTTTTCAACCCCTTTTTCAGAATATCTGCTAGCTGTTTGGTATGACGTGTTTTTCGGGAAAAATACGGGCTGATAGTCTCAAACGCTCCGCAATATTACATCTTAATTTAGATACTAATCGTCAGGATGTGATTATTTTCCTATTCAGAAATACCTTTAGGGGCAATGAGTGACCAGCCCTTGAGGGCGCCAATAATAAATAGGTGTAGACGGATAAAAATGAGTATTACGTGTACGAGGTGATCGTTGTACATAAATTCCGGGGGTAAAAAAAGTTGAAAAACATCCGCTTGCATATAAACTATTCCTTAATCCGCTTATGGGTTCTTAGCAGTCTATGATAGGTTCCGCAATTTCTTGCTCGCATACAAAGCTACGCAAACGTTTCAGAAAGGAAGACCGTGACCTAGAATGCTCTTTCAAGTTTCACTTGCCAGGACTGCATACAACTGTTTATTTTATGGAAACAGTATGGCTTAGTCTGAATTCTGGTTAAGCGTAGTCATTATATTTGCAGGACAATCTATAAATCCAGAAGCTTCCATGTTATTTTGCGTCCGTTAATAGAGCACCGGGATTCTACCATCCAGGCATCGAATTAATCAAGATTTGAGGATATGACTTTGTTTATAACCATCAAGTCGAAATCTGCAATGGTTTATGTGATCCGCAATAACAAACAAACATCTGAAGAGTTAATCGTTGGCCTCAAAAGGTATTTACTTTCAAGTATGCATTTTAGGCAGGTGACTGTGGTTCAACCGAGTGGGTTATTCACAGCGCGGGGCCGAGTAAAAACCAAATTTAATAGCTACTTCGCGATGGGCCACAAAAGAGTACTTAGAAGTGGGTCACGAGACTAGTGGATTTCGAGTGCGTTTGGAAAAAACGAGGTTTTCTCTTCATAATTATTTTGACAGTACCGATAAAGGTGTTTTGACAAAAGGCAACAAATAAATGAGTGTGGTTTTTTTAAAGGTACTGCATGGTTAGGGAAACTGGCGAGTAAGTATTACATTTATCTGAACAGTTCTTCATACCCCGCTATTGATGATATTATCCATGTTACGGAAACGTTTGGGATTAAGGGCTAAAAATAGATTTGCTTGCCGTCCGCCCGGGGTAGGCTGATTTGCTGTCGACCAATCAGGTCTAGCTTACGACTTTTAGTGCTTAAAAATGTGTAAATAACTCACATTTTCGGACTTTTATCGAAGTCGGGTTGACGAATTATTACAGCTCAGTATAGAATGTAAGTTTCCAAATTAATTACATCGTTATGTACCTGTTTTGCCCAGACCTACCCTTTAATACATGCCTACCATTGCCGATTCGTAATAGAGAAATTCCATTAGCAGTGAGGATGGTAATTATTGAATAGCTAGGGTGCAGCTAAGCAGTTTTAGAACATTGGATGATCAAACTTTAAGAATTTGGAAAGGCGTACCCAAACCTCATTAAAAATGAATCTCTTTAATGCCTTTCCCCAAAAATCAGAAAGTATCACCACATTAGAAGAGCAGGTTAAGTTAAAGGAGTCCACCCAAAGAGTCTTCACAACAAGGACAGTGCTTACTTAAAAGTGCCGAACCTCAGATTTTGATTTGCCCCTTTGGTCATAGTACTGACGGAGAAGCTTGGCAAACCACCACCTTTTGACCGTTTATTGGCGCCTTTCTATCCACCTGGGTGTGCTGAAAACCATTCTAAATTTCAGACGTCGCACGTATTGTCACTCTGAAAGCCGATGGAGTAAATCACTTATTATGGCTTGTAATCAGTGCTTATGAGCTAAATACTAAATACGTTAGACGTAGTTTATCCAGAACGAGTATGTAAAGAATCTCGTAAATAGTCCTCACTTGAAATAAGTTTGCTTCAAAAAAAAACTCATAAATAATCTGCATATATTATGCATAAAAGTGTTCTTCTTACGTTAATAATAAGTTTTTTGATTGGGATAGACACGCATACACCAACCTCTAACTACTTTGCTATTTTTAAAGCCACTTACAGTTACAGTTAGTAAGTAGGGCTAATGATGACGGTGCCAAGTTTATGCGCATGAGAAACCTCGTACAGGCCAATCATGCGCTCAGACGCTAGAGCCCCACAGCTCAGAGAAGCAGATTCTACAATTTCTTGAGTGTTAGCCTCTCCTCCCCTCAAAAAAAGACCAGAAATATTTTCTTCCTTCATTTCTCTTACTGTGCTTGTCTGTCTACGGGAGGCCTAGCTTCACCAACAGCCAGTTTCAGCGTTTCCGCCTGCATGCGTTTGAGAACGAGTGTCCGATCGCGAGTTGTCAACCCAACTGCTTGTTCCGAAGGCCGCTTTCAGATCATGCTCCACTTTAGCAACTCAACGCCTTACATGTAGACCTTATTGCCTCTCTTGTGTAGTCATTATCATAGTTCTATGGTGTTTCTGACGTCATTCGTTCTGAGCCCTCGTTAAGGTAGTGCCATCATAATAAATGAACGATTGTATTAGTCGTTAAAATTAGGGCAAATCCTTCATTCCTTAAACACATAATTTTCAAAACATCAGTTGAACAATTAAGTGAAGTAGGCTTTAAAATATACTGGATTAGTAATGAGCCATTAAAGATCGTGCTTTTTGTTTGCGTTTCAATTAGATCACTTTCTTTTGAATAAGTGTGTGAATACTCAAGTTGGAATTCAAAGGTTAGAGATATTGTTCCGAAGTGCTAAACTTCTTCACCATCTTTAAAGAAATGAATCCTGGTATCCGTCACCTTTTTTTCATCTATTAAAAAACTTTCTGTTCTTCTAATTTACTCATGCTGACTGCCACAAGGATACAGGTAAAATAAAGTTGTTCGTTTGTTAATGAGTTACACCGAACCGGACAGTGAAATTTCCATTATTTCCACATTGACTACGGTAGTCAACAAAGGTTCACATTTCTGTATATGTCGATCAGCATCGGTGAATTTAGTTTATTTATGGAAGTATGCACACCAACTTTCTCCACTCCTCCCATATTGTAAAACACCAAAACAGTTTAAGATAGAGGTTGGATAAGGGACTGCGACTTTGATAGGAAACTTCGTATGGTGCATGTTTTCATTAATAAAAACTGCGAAAAATTATTTAGTTGAGGTATAAATGCGATTTTTTGTTGAAAGACTACTGTGGAAATGCACATGTATGGGTTTTAACAAATGAGCAAAATGCCTGTTTCGGTAAGTGTAATATCCACGATAAATGTGCACGTTGAATGTTGGTATTTTCTGCAACTTCTAAGGACTCTGCATGGCGTGAAATTTGAGTGTGCTTATTTCCAAATAAATAATCAGACAAAAGGAAGGTCCATTTTTTAAGTATACGATTGGTATTTCGGCTATAAATGTCGGTATCATGATCCAAATATAAGTATGAGCAAGAAAATTATCAAGATATTCCAAAAAACACTCTTTATCTCAGCACAATTTTTCTAAGAGCCAACAAGGATGATTGAAAGGTTCTGCTACTAATCATTGAGTAGAAATCCAATTTGTAAGCCATATTCTTTTAAATGTAGATTTCCTTCGTTTTTCGCATTTTTAGAGCTTACAGTTGCTCCACAGAAATACACCCCTTTTAAATATTTTGGTGTATATTTAAAGCAGCAACTCACCGCTTTCCATATTAGCAGGATCAGAAGTAAGAATTACCGCAAAATCTTAATTGAGGCCTAACTTTGGTTTTCTTAAGTGTATGCCAATGCACGAAATTCGCTTTGATAAAGGATTTTTTGGATATTGTGCCCAAATATGTGAAATAAAAATAGCAATATTTCAGCTTCCTGAACCATTCTTTTCCAAAGTTTGCCTCTATAGTTGCCATTTGCTGATGGTTAGATAGAAACGCTTGCTTGAGATGTAGCGTAAAGTTACAATTCTTACCTGAAGCCGTATTAAGGGATGCCCACAAATGAGACAGATCTATTATTAACATACAGAAGAGCTGGGAACCGAAAAATAGGGTCAGACGGAAGAAAAACCCGTGAAGAATGCAAATTCCGTACAAATAAGTGCACTTTAAACAAATGTCGTTCTGTTACGCTAACATTTACTATCTCGAAAACATCTCAGCCG